ATTTTTTGCTTGCTTGCGTCAATCACGCGCATTCGCCATCAGATCACCACTGGCTTTTTTATTGTGTTTACGCGCAGTTTAATTGCGATGTGAAAATTAATTGGAGGGTTATAAAATAAATAAACCCCGTTCTGGCCTGCTGGTATGTCGGCTGATAATGTCCTTGGCTGAGAGATTGTCCTCAAAATTTCATATTTGCCCTCGAAGCTTCGCTTCTCGGCCAAATATTCATTTTTCGGACAATCTCTCAGCCGCGGACATTATCAGCCGACATACCAGCCGCCCGAAGGGGTTTATGTACTAAATACCAATTAGTTGATCTGATGCTAAGTTCTCTGACCAAACATCATAATAATTGTATGGTACACAGTAGTGAGAATTACCAGTGAGATCTTGGGAGTGAAAGTATTAAGAGAATAAATGCTGTATTTCAAGAAAAAATATGCTGTGTGTCTTGAGTTCTGGGTTAGAAAGTTGCCTAGCTGGGCTACTAGGCTGTATTCTTACAGTTTCTTTCCAAAAACCTGTGATAAGCTCTTACTAGATGGGTCACCGTTCAAGTAGGAACTTACTTTTTCTTCTTTCTTTTCTCTTTTATTTTTTTACCTACCTTCCTTTTCAACTTCTTGTTCCAATGGAACCAACACACCATCATCCTCATCTCTGTAGCCATAATAGTCTGCATCAACATCTTTGTAAAGTTCTCCTCTTGTCTTCCTTGGAGGTGCTGGTGCTGTTTTTTTTTTTTTTTAACAAAAAATAAAAAAATAAATCAACCAATGGAAAAAGAGTTTTCAGTTGCCACTCAGGACTCAAATTAGGAATCACAATAGACATTGTTTACTTGTTACACAATCTAACACTTACGTTCCTGCTCAAAAAGTTCTCTGACGCCAGGAAGGTCTTTGGCAGCTCCAAAATACCTTGAAAAAGTACAAATCAATTTGAATAAATGGTAGCTTAGAATCCTGAAATCATTTCATAAATGTCAAAATTTGAGATTATATTGGTAACTCTTTAACTCCTAAAATTGATAAATACAAAGTTTCCTTGCTATTTTCTGAAGAATTCAATGTAAAATTTACTTGTATCCTCTGTTCCCAGGTACTTCTTTCCCTTCATGGTCCAGCATCTTTGGTCCAATTTTCTGAAGATTAATGAGAGAATGATCAAGTTTTAGCAAAACAAATAGTTTGCACAGTTTTTTTAATGTCAACTACGTAATCAATTAAAAATTGGTTTGCATCCACTTAAATGTTGCCATGTATTTGCTCAGTACTAGATTTCATATGATGTCAAAATGTGGTAAGAACAAACAGATGGGACATGCAGTGCTCTCAATAAGATTTGAAATAGGTGGCTACCTCTGTCAGTACAACACCTGCCGGAGAGCGACTTGATTGCGACTTAACATGGTGACTGCGACTTAAGCGTGGTGAAATATCATTACCCAGCGATTCGCAACAGAATAACCGCTGGAGCTCCAGCGGGTGCCGGGTCTTATTGAAAGCACTGGACATGAGACCCTGTCAAATGTGTCACTAATGTTTTTACCAAATTTGATGTCTTCTGTTATCTATAACTGTACAGACCTCAAAGCAACATGGGATTTATTTGTTTTACATGATGAAAAATCAAAATTAGGGCTCGACACTAACTTTTCAACTTACAGGGTTCCTACACATTTTTCAGGCCAAAGATTCAAGGACTCTTCAAGGACTTTCTAGGACCCTACTTAGAAATTTCAAGGACTTTTTGTAGTGAAAATTTTACCTCAAAAACAAGAAAAATGTTTCTGTTAACATCTTTGTTTTGGGTTTACCGATGGTGCAAAACAAAAGCAGATATTTTTTGTTGTTCAATAAAAAATCAAGGACTTTCAAGGACCCAAAACGAAATTTAAGTACTTTCAAGGCCTTCAAATTGGCCTCCTGAAATTCAA